ATATATACACCACACCTTCTTTATCCAATCATCAGTTGATGGGCACTTGAGTTGCATCTACGTCTTGGCTATTGTGAATAACACTGCAATGAACATAGGGGTGCGTAAGTCTCTTTGTATTGTTGATTTCAAGTTCTTTGGATAAATACCCAGTAGTGGCATAGCTGGGTCATATGGTATTTTTTTAAATTTTTTGAGAAATCTGCATACTGTTTTTCATAGTGGCTGCACCAGTTTGCATTCTCACCAGCAGAGTATGAGGGTTCCCTTTTCTCCACATCCCCTCCAACATTTGTTACTTTTTGTCTTGGTGCTTATAGCTATTCTAATGGGTGTAAGGTGAATCTTAGAGTAGTTTATTTATTTATTTTTAAATTAAAAAAAATTTTTTTCCTTCTGCTCCCCAAAGCCCTCCAGTACATAGTTGTATATTTTAGTTATGGGTCCTTCTAGTTGTGGCATGTGGGATGCCACCTCAGCATGGCTTGATGAGTGGTGCTAGATCAGTGCCCAGGATCCGAACTGGTGAAACCCTGGGCCACTGAAGCAGGGGACTTAAACTTAAACACTCGGCCATGGGGCCAGCCCCTAGCAGTTTATTTTTTTAAAGGTATGCTTTAATTTTTCTTTTTTGTGAGGAAGCTTGGCCTTGAGCTAACATCTGTTGCCAATCTTCATCTTTTTTTTTCCCTTCCCAAGGTCCCTGTACATAGCTGTATATCCTAGTTGTAAGTCCTTCTAGTTCTTCTATGTGGGATGCCACTAGAACGTGGCTTAATGAGTGGGATGTAGGTCCACATCCAGGATCTGACCTGGCAAAGCCCAGGCCACTGAAGTAGAGTGTGCAAATTTAACTACTATGCCACCAGGCCCCTTAGTGAAGTTTGGATTTGAATTTCTCTGATGATTAGTGATGTTGAATCTCTCTTCATGTGCCTGTTGGCCATCTGTATATCTTCTTTAGAAAAATGTCTGTTCATATCCTCTGCCCATTTTTTGATCGGGTTGTTTTTTTTTTTAAAGATTGGCACCAGGGCTAACAACTGTTGTCAATTTTTTTTTTCTGCTTTATCTCCCCAACCCCCCCATACACAGTTGTATATCTTAGTTGCAGGTCCTTCTAGTTGTGGGATGTGGGACACCACCTCAACGTGGTCCACGCCCAGGAACCGAACCCTGGGCCGCCGCAGCAGAGCACGTGAACTTAACCACTCAGCCACGGAGCCAGCCCCTGTTTGTTTTTTTGTTGTTGAGTTCTGTGAGTTCTTTATATATTTTGGAGATTAATTCTTTGTCAGATATATGAATTGCAAATATTTTCTCCCAGTTGATGGGCTGTCTTTTCATTTTGCTCCTGGTTTCCTTAGCCCTACAGAAGCTCTTTAATCTGATAAAGTCTCACTTGTTAATTTTTTCTTTTGTTTCCCTTGCCGAAGTAGACATGGTATTCAAAAAGATCCTTCTAAGACCTATGTCAAAGAGTGTACTGCCTATATTTTCTTCTAGGAGTTTCAGGTCTTACCTTCAAGTCTCTTTGATCTTAGGAGGCAGAATCTAAGGGAAGAGCTCCACCAAGATGCTGACGTCACTTCCAGTTTTTAACTACTTTTAATTATTGACTGTAATGGTTTGTATGTATTGTATGGTATGATTTGTTCATCCACTCACCCACTGAAGGATATTTGTGTTGTTTCTAGTTTTGGATGCTTATGAATAAATCTACTATAACTTTCTGCTATTGAACTCAGTAGTGAGGTTTTAATTTGGTTGCTGTATTTTTTTAATATGTATTTTTAATAGGCTTTTTTGTTTAGATCAGTTTTAGGTTCATGGTAAAATTGAGTGAAAATGTAGAGTTACCATATACTCCCTGTCCTCAGACACCATAGCCTTCCCTGCTGTCAACATCACACACAAAAGTAGCACATTTGTTACAATAGATGAATGTTATACTTTCCAGTTCTAAATTTTTCACTTAGCTCTTTTTTGGACCTTCCATTTCTTTGTTGAGATTGTTTACTGCATTTTCATAAGAGCTACTTTAAATTCTTGGTCAGATAATTCCAACATCTGTGTCATCTTGGAGTTGACACCTGTTGATTATATTTTCCCATGAGAACTGACATTTTCATGGCTTTTCATATGTCCAGTAGTTTTGTATTGTTTCCTGGCCATTTTGAATGTTGTAAGACTCCACATCTTACTTAAATTTTATAGAGAAAATTAATTAACTTTTTTTTAAAGCAAGCAATGAACATGCTTGAGTTCAGGTCACAAGTTCAGACAAGCCTCCTGTGGGTTGTGATTTCAAAGCCTTTGAAGTGACATTTGGAGCTTTCATTTGTAGACATCACCCAGCAGCCACTCTGGTACCTGGATGTTGGTCTATCTTAGCTTGAGCTGCTATAACAAATACCATAGACTGGGTGATATAAGAAACAAATATTTATTTCTCACTGTTCTGGAGGCTGGGAAGTCAAGGTGCCAGCAGATTCACTGTCTGGTGAGGGGGCCTCTTCCTGGTTTGCAGATGACCACCTTCTTTCTGTATCCTCTCATGGCCAAGAGGGAGAGAGCATCTCTCTTGTCTCATCTTATGAGGGCACTAACCCAATTCATGAGGACTCCACCTTAATGACCTAATTACTTCCCAAATGCCCCATCTCCAAATACCATCACATTGGGCATTAGGATTTCAACATATGAATTTTGGGGGGAACAGAAATATAGACCATAAACATAGGCTATAACAACTTTATGGGATTGCTTTCAGGGGCTCCTCCTTCTTTATGATCTCCTCAATAATTTCTGATTCCCTCAATCTCCCTTTTCCAGACCTTTGGCCAACACATGGAGCTATATTTATCCTGCTTTGTATCACACTTCCTGCGACTGCACCTGCCGCATGGCAGACGGACAAAGAGAAAGAAAAAAAGCAACAAGATTTGTCCCATCCTCTTGGGACCACAACTCTGTCAACCAGAGAAGACTCTCCCTCAGAGTTTTAGCCTCCTGCAGTCCTCTATGGACTGCTGTTGCTTCTGCCATAGCTACAGGATTTCTTAGGGGCTGGGACCGAGAGCATAAAGAAAAGAAAAAAAAAGCGAGGGATTTTCACCACTCTTTTTGGATTGGGAACCCTTTTCCTGCTCTTCAAGCCAAAACAAGAAGACTTCTTTTGGAGTAATCCCTGTTGGCACTTATGTCCATGTCCAGGTTCTGTGCTGTCCCAAATCTAGGCCAGGGGACACCAGAGAAAAAAACATGGGGAACTCATGATCTGTTGTGTGACATTGCAAACTCTCGTCATCTTCTCCATCCACCTGCTACTCTTTACTTTTCAAAGTCCTTCCTGCCTTCTGTCTAAGTTTAGCCTCTACGCTCTGTAGGAGACACCAAGTGAAGGATGTTTAGTCCATCTTACCCTGAACTGGATCCTCACTTATCAATTTCATACTTGCTCAAACTTTCATTCAAGTGTAAAGCAAAGACAACAACAAAAGACATCAAGGAACACACTGTGGTTTCTGTATGTATTCTTAATGTCAATGATGAAACAATATTGTGTAACTAACAGCAGTTGGGAGGGAAAGGGGGAAGGGGAAGAAGCTTAATGCTGATCTCCTCATCTTTCACAGCTGGGGTTAAAAAGCTACTTAAAGTGGCTAAAATTCAGGAAGAACGCACAGAAAAGCTAACAAGGAGGGTTGCCTGAGGACACTAAGTGGCTGAGGAACCGGGTGGAGGGGGACTTTTCACTGAACACACTTCTCAGAATGAGAGATCTCAGCTACATGAATATATTACATTAAAAAAATAGTGGTAAAATAGAGATAGATGCTTGTCTATCAAGAGAATCCCCCACAAGTCCATTTTGCTCTTTCTTTAGGGGAAATATTCTCTAGAAGGCTGACATTCCCATATAGTTTAAAGAAATCTATTAAATATTTAAATGAAACAATAATAAAAGCTAGCATTTATGGAGTATTTATATCTCCAGACTCCATTCTAAGTAGTTATCTGATCTTCACATTAGCTCAAGAAACCATTATAATGAAATATATAATATATAAATGAATAATATATATGAAATATATCTATTTCGTGTTTTAAAGATGAGGAAACTGAAGATTAGAGAGGCTAAACAAATTGCCCAATGTTAAATATTCACATATGGTAAAGCAGTCAAACTAAGATTAGACCAGGTAGTTTAGCAGTAGATACAAAGGGTAGAAAAAATATACAATCTACTATAATCTGATGCAGAAGAAGAGGAAGAACAGCTGTGGGGATGTAGAGGTGTATAATTTTAGGATTGCTTAGAGTGGGTCAATAGATACACTCTAGATCGACGATGAGCTGTGTATCAGATATGGTGATAGAGATTACCATAAAAAATCAAAACAGAACCAACCCTTTGGTACGAGGAACACATAAGCTAAGCAAAAGGAACACAAACCATACCAATTAAATACTTTTTTAAAAGAAGCAATGGAAATAGAAAAAGAATAATGTAACTATGATACAACTAATACCACAGACCTATTATATCAATAGAAATGGTTTAAATTCTTCTATTAAAATAGGAATCTCATTTTATCACAAAGTCAAACTCAACAAGCAAACCCCTAAAACAAAGTGATTCAGAAAGGTTGAAAAAGAGTGGATAAAGGTATACTTGGCAAATGCAAACAAAAGGAAAGTTAACGTTTCTTCTAAAGTTATGATCTTAGCATTGGACGAGATTAAATTAAAATTTAAAAGCATTCTCTAATACAAATTAAGACACTTTTAATTAAAAAAGTAAAATCATAATCAAAATCTAACATATTTGAATATTTGTTCACCAAAAAATATAGAATCAAAATTTATAAAGCCCAAACTATATTTAAAAAATGGAGCAATAGGCAGAAATACATTATTTATAGGAATCTGAGCTCACTCACCCTGTGTTAGACTGCATTATTTGTTCAAATTATTTGTTGCCTGTATCCACTCACCTTTGCCATCCTTTCCAGTAGGCAGAATATACTTCTTTATCCTATTCCCTTTGGGCTTGATCATGCAACCTGTTTTGGCCAAAGGAATGTGAGTGTATGTGACGTGCACCATATCTCAGCATAAACTTTAAATGGACCTGCATGGTTTGGCTCTGCCTCTCTTGTTCCTGCCAAGACTGGGATCAGGATGAGTTGGGTGAGGCAGGGTCATGAAAGTGTAGGGTCAGATTCCAAAATTTTATCTAAATGTTTTGATATTTTGTTCATCATGGATTTTTGTACTGCTTTTGATTTTTAAAAATATTTCATGAGAATATTATTTATCTTGATCACTGAGTTTTTTGGAGTCCTCTTAAATTTTGCATGCAGCTACCCCACTGTGGCCGTGGTTCCTGCCCTATCCGAAGAGCACAGCAAGAACCCAGAGAGTGGCTACTCCTTCAGCCATGCTTCTGAAATGAGAAGACCTACGGAGCCAGACTGGACCCAACCAAGCAGATATCAGGTGAACAGCAACCGATCTGCAGTTCTCATGAAACATGAGCAAGAAATAAGATTTGTTGTTTAAGCCAATGAAATTTTGAGTTTCTTTGTCATACAGAATGGGCTAGTGAAACCTAAGGGACAGTCTATGGCAGATTCAGTGGACAAAAATAAGTAAGATTTAGAAGACCTTTAGTAACATAATAAATATGGCAGATCTTATTCCTATATTCCACACTATTTCCTAAAAACATAGAACATACATTCTTTTTCGTTTACTCACTCACCAAAATTATCCTTATGCTGGGCCACACAGAAAACGTTAATAAATCCCCCAAACTAGAAACAGTATAGATAACGTTCTATAATTTACGTTCTGTGATTACACTATGAACTGCTAGCAGATGTAAAACCTCCTCCCCTTAAAAGCTGAAAATTAAAAAAGAATTTCTCTTTTAGATAACTTCAAAGTAGAAATCAGAACTACAATGGCAGAATTTCTAGAAGATAACAATAGAAAACGTTAACAGAACGCTATGTATGAAAAGCTATAAGATACAACTAAAGCAGTGCTCAGTGCAAATGCAAACTTGGATACTTATATTTTTAAGAAATAAGAAAGAATAAAAATAAATGAATCAAGCAGCTAATGTAATATCTACAGAAAATAACAAAACAATCCAAAGGAAAGCAGAAGAAACTGATAATGATAAAAGCAAAAAAAAAAAAAAGTGAATTACTATACAGAAACATGAAGAACTGATAAATATATCTAAGACCTAGTTGACTGAGAAAAATACAAAATGATTAGCAAAAATAAGTAAGATAGAATGAGAGGAAGTATACATTCACAAGATAAGCAATGTGTTAGTGAAGTTAAAAGAATTATGAGGCATTGTTTAACACTACAAATTATTTTTTTAAATTGTATCAGATAGATAAAAATACTCAAAATGAAAAAATTATAAAAAGGAACCAGGAAGAGAAAAAATATAAATGGACCAATTGCTACAGGAAAAAAAATACTAAATAGAAAAAGTTGACAAAGAGCTGCTTCCCAAAGCATTGATGGCAGGTTCACAGTCGAATTCCTCCAAACATTTAAGGAAAAGATAAATCCAAATAAAGTCTAATTATTTGTATAAAGCCAATACAGTATTAATTAGAAAAAAACTAAATTAAACATGACTCTAAAGAGAAAACTACAGCTCAATCTCACTTATAATATTGATGGCACAATTCTAACAAAAGATTAAGATGCAGAATTAAGTAGCGAATTAAAAGAATGAGAGATCATGACCTAGTGGCATTAATTCCAGGAGTGTAAAGAAAACATATTAGGAAGTAAATTAATATAATTCACCATGTATATAGAACCAAAGGAAGAATCACACGGTCATATCCATAGATGCTAAAAAGACATATTCAACAAACTTTTAACATCAAAATTCTTCTTCTTTTTTTTTTTTTCCCCAAGGAAGATTAGCCCTGATCTAACTACTGCCAGTCCTCCTCTCTTTGCTGAGGAAGCCTGGCCCTGAGCTAACATCATGCCCATCTTCCTCTACTTTATATGTAGGACCCCTACCACAGCATGGTGTGCCAAGCGGTGCCATGTCTATACCCGGGATCCCAACCGGCCAACCCCGGGCCCCCGAGAAGCGGAACGTGTGAACTTAACCGCTGCGCCACCGAGCCGGCCACCAAAATTCTTAATAAAATAAGAGATTATATTTTCTCAATTTTCCTTAAATATATTTATAAATTTAACATAGTGTCAAGGAAAATATAACCAGTGATATTTTCAGAGTTAGGAAGCTGATTTTAAAGTTTCTCTGGAATAATATACATTCAAGATTAATCAGGAAAAAATTTGAAAGTGAAAAATAAAAAAGAGGAACTATCTTAGCAGATACTGAAGCACATTATACAGTTAAAGGAAGTAAAAATAGTGTGCTGACACATGAATAGACAGATAAACGGAACAGAAACGGAAGTCCAGAAATAAACCCGAGTATACATAGGAATTTTGTACACGATATATATAGATGGTATTTTAGGTCAGTGGGAATATGATGGATTATTCAATAAATGTTTGGGGACAACTGGGAAAAACTAGATCTCTACCAAACTCCTCACACTAAAAAACTTCCAAGTAGACGAAAGATGTAAACGAAAACACTCATAAAATGTTTAGAAAAGATGTGAGACTTTGAAAATCAAGTGTGAGAGCGGGGAAGACTTTTAAAGCATGGTGAAAGACAGCTACTGTAACAGAAAAGACTGACAACGTAAATATCAGAAATTTCTGCATGACAAGAAAATTTTGTTAAAATTAAAAGGCAATTGATAAATTGGAAAAGATAGATGCAGCACATATCACAAATGGTTAATCTGTTAAATATATAAAAGATCCTACCTATAATTTTTAAAAGATAAGTTACCCAAAAGAAAAATGGGCAACAGTCCCTAGAAAAAGTGATCTAAATGTTTCTACGCACATCAAAAGATGCATAACCTCACTTGAAATCAGAAAAATGCTAATTAAAATACAGTGAAATACCATTTTCACCATTTTGTTCTTGGCGTAGAATGTTTTCTTATGTTTAGCTCAACAGTTAAATAATTTAAGAACAGAATCTAGTGCAGATTATGTATCATGAATCTACAGGCTACATTTAAATCAACACACTACCCTTAAGTGTCTTATATTTGGCCTTCTATCCATAATACGAGCAAGCTGGATGCAGGGTAATTTTTAGATACCAGTTTTTAGGGGGAAAACTGAGTCTCATATGTTGCCAATGCAGGATTTTTTGTGTGTGTGATTTTAGCAGAAACTTTTTCTTCTTACACTCACATTCAGACTTCAAAGTATAAATTCTTAGAGTTCAAATGTCATTATGTAATCTCTGTTTCTAAGACTTGGCATAATAAACAAGGAGCTAGCTGCAGGGGTGGTAGCTGGCAGAAACTGGAAGGGAGGTGGTTTGATAGGGGGTGCAAAAACAAGGTGGAAGATGGAGCTGGAGGCACTGGCAGTTATCTGTCCGTCCTTCCATCTCAGACATGCCCCTGATCCTCCGTGACTGTGGGTGAAGGTCATACCCCACTGCTGAGATGGAGCAGCTCTCCTCCCTTTTCTGGGCAGGGCTGGTTCCCTCAGCATTCCCATAATGGTAGCCTGGCACCCTAGCTGTGCTATAGCTTACTGGAGTGACAAAACAGGACATAACTCTGTATTTCTTGGTCCCAGAAATTCCAGCTTTTTAAATTCCCTGGGTGAGCAATTTGGAATGATTCTAATTTGGGTAGGTAGAGTAAATACATTTAGGATGTGAATTTCCACAATGTCATTTGCAACATCGTTTTTGAGAACTACAGCTTTCAGAGAAGGAAAATACTCTACCTTGTTTCTCTGATTTACTGTGATGGGCCTATCTCTTGACTCTAATAGGAGTTATGAGAAACATTTCACCATGTAAATTTCAGTACAGCCGCTATTTTAGAATAATATACATGGCTTTTTCTTCCTCTTATTTCTGTCATTTCTTCCAACTGAATTTTATTTTCTTCTTCAAAAAACCACAGAGCTCCCATTTCTCTCTCTCTCTCTCTCTGTGTGTGTGTGTACAGACAAGATTCGGAGAGACGTGTGGTTTTGTGTATGGATTTTGAAAAAAATTACTCTAACAGTGATGTGAAATTTCAACCCACCCTTGTGAAAATTAAATGAGTTAGTATGTAGTACTTGGCACAAGGCCTGGCATGAGGAAGGAGCTCCGTGTTTATTATTGCTATTACTTAAAGAACATCAAAAATCTGAAGAGAGAGGTACCATTATTATTCTCATTTGAAGGCTAGTAAGTGTTGGAGCCCGTATTCAAACCACATTTTTCAGATAACGAATCTATTTAACACCACACTACTCAGGGTTTGGAACTGCTGAAATGTGTAACAAGATTAAATTAGGTTGCATACATAATGTGACTCTATGAAATAGTACTGTATAGCAAGAAAGGGAGATAAAGTGGAGAAAAAAGATGTCCTGGATAGTTGATGTCTTTCTCAAAGGATCAACATCATTTTACATTCTAGTTGATTTTAAAAGCTTTCTTCTGAGCCCTCTCTGGACAATTAATAGGATGCCTAAGACTTATGGGTGTTCCCTCACTTGTGTGTAAGAAATACCAGGAGCTGTTTGCAAATTGGTGTTTACTTCACATTGAAGGGTACAGGGTTGAAAGAGACCTCGAGTATTCATTTGGGAGCGTACCCTGATTTCTGGTAGGAATGTGACTAAACCATTCCTTGCTTGGTGTGTTAACTCAATATCAGATCTGCAAGGAAAGAAATTACACAGCTTCCATTTGCATTAACTCAGTTTTGGGTTTCATAACCCTGGCTATTGGGAAAATGTTCAATTTCCTTAAGGATATAGGCTTCCAACACAGTGGGTATCATTAGTTTTATCAAGCCAAAAACAAGTTAAATGCAATGAATTAGCCTAGAGAGTACAGACCATGCTAATCTTTAAATCCTATAAAGAATGCCTAGCATAGAACATTACAGATAATAGATGCCAAATAAATGCTTATTAAATTGAATTGAACTACAAAGCAGGGGAAAAATTGTCAAGTTATCAAAGTGCATTATTGAATTGGGGCTTTATTGCTGTGTCTTACTTTCTCATTTCCTGAAATTAACACTTAGGTTCTGTTTAAAAAACTTTATGTGAAACAAGAAAAATGCTGACTTTTCTAAGAAGTTCATTCAATTATTTATTCAACAGATATTTATTGAACACCATGTGCTAGGCACTGTCCCAGGTTCTGAATATTTTAAATGTATGCTACTATGTTTTAAATAATAGTGTGCAATAGTAAGAACCTCAATTGCTTCCACGTAAACTAACCAAAAGTTCCACATGTGAGTGTTTAATGAGCTGCTGCTCAGAGAGTTTGCTATGAATCCTTCATTGAATGTAGTCACATTCTCTAATACCACTAATCATATAATATCAAATCTCTTAATGCCTTCATTAGGTACCTGCACCTCCCATCCAGAAGCTTAAAGTTATGGAGTTAATCGCCAGTTAAGAAAGATAGTGTAGTTGCTAGAAAGAATTAATAAGACTAGAAATTCAGAAACTGGGCACTGAAGTGGTGTCACCTCTGTTAAGTTACTTAATTCTGCAGAATCAGTTTCCCTATCTGTATATAGCCAGCCCTGGTGGTCTAGTGGTTAGGATTCAGCATTCTTACTGGTGCAGCCCAGGTTTTCTTTTCCAGTCAGGGAACCACATTACCTGTCAGCTGTCATACTGTGGCAGCTGCTGTTGCTGTGATGCTGAGAGCTATGTCACCGGTTTTTCAAACACCAGCAGGGTCACCAATGGTGGACAGGTTTCAGTGGAGATTCCAGACTAGCACAGACTAGGACGGAGGACCTAGCCACCTACTTCTGAAAAAATTGGCCTTGAAAACCCTATGAATAGCAGTGGAGCATTGTGTGATAGAATGCCAGAAAGTGAGAGGATGGTGCAAAAAGACTGGGCTCTGCTGTACAGAGTCACCAGGAGTCAGAATCAATTCAACGGCATTGAGAACGAATTTGTAAAATTAAATGAATTTTTAAAATGTTAAAGCTTCTTTTAAGTCCGATATTCTATAACATTAATTAAGATTAATTAATTCTAAATTCTAGGAGGAACGTAAACTCTATGAGTTTTGGCTCAATTCCTATTAATGATACAAAAATTTCCCTTTTCTGTGTTGGGACATCAAACGAACAACACAGAGACTACATCCATATACATATATACGTACATATATAATTATCTTTAAAGTAGTCACCAAGAGCACCGTTTCACAGCTGCTTCAATCTTTCTATGCTTTGCCAAATATACTTGATGATTTAGCTACAGCATGAACTTCTTCACTTTCCTTTGTAGATTTTCTTTTCAGATGGCAGGGTGATACTGAAAAAGGATGGAGTGTGTTGAGCGGTGCTGGCTATTGCATATTTTATTATGGCCAAAACAATTTTTATTTTTCAAGTTAAAAGCTTTCCAACTTCAAGGAGGAGTTTAGTTTGTTGCAGTTGGATTTTAGACAGCTCCTCCGGCTAACGGGGACATGAAGAAAGGCAGCAAACCATGGGAAGAGAGAACTAGTTTAAGTCCTAGGGGGAAAAAATAAGGCAGACTTTTACAACTTAGGGAAAAAGAACACTGCAAAGAAAATGAGCTAGCCCCGGGGATGCTTCGAGGAGTAGGAACTTGCCCAGCCCTATGTCTATGAGGGACTTCAGAAGATGGAAACACCGCAGGCCCAGGCTCTCACGGTGGGAAGAAGGACCGTTGTATGATAAAGCGGGCCTATTTCTGTTTTAGTGGCTTTCAAATATATTCTGCAAGTAGTGACCTATTCAGGTCATCTGACTCACACAGAAAAAAAAAAAAAAACCCGCAAATTAATCTAAAATTTTGAGATATTCACGCCTTTAAAAAAGGGTGTACCTGCAAACAAAATCAAAAGTATTTCATTCCAAGCCAAAGATCTGAACTGTCACAGAATCCATGTCTTGGGGTTTAACACCCGCCTTGCTCCCTTCAGGGACCTCAGCTCCCGTTGCAGCGCCGTCCCTGGCCTAAGGCTCCAGCCCTCTCGGGGCGCGCGCCCGGGGTCTGGGGGCGGAGAGGGCGTGGAGGTGGTTCCCTTGGAGCATCCAATCAGCGGCGAGGCCGGCGGTGGCGCTAGTGACGCAGGCCGCGCTTCCCTCCGCCCCACTGCGGGCCGACGCTCGGCGCTGTCAGCCCCGCGAGCTCGCGCGCGGGGAGGGGGAGGAGGAGGGCTTTGGGGCCGGCCGGCTGTCGGAGGGCGGCGGGTCGCGGGAAGGGAGAGAGTGAGCATGCGCAGCGGCTCCGGGGCGGGCGGGGGAGGTGGGGACCCGCGCGCGCGCGCACGAGTGGCCCGCCGGCGGCCGCGGGTGGAGGGGGCGGTTCCTCGAGTGTCGGCGGCCGGAGGGTGGGCAGCCTGGCGGCAGGTGCCGCCGCGGCCGCCGCCGCAGTCTCCTCCGGGTCCCGGGTCTTCTCGTCCGCTCGTGGTGATGCGCTGGGCCCCGTCGGGGGCTGCACCTGCCGGCTGCCCATCACCCGGGGCCTCCTGGCGTGACCTCGGCCTCCTCGCGTGCCCGGCCCCCGCGGCGCCGTGCTGCCCCTGAGAGGGAGCGGCAGCGGCCTCCTCCGCCCCGAGTCCTCGCTCGGGGGCCGCGCGGACAGAGCGCCTGGCCCCCTCCCCTCCCCCGTCCGCCGTCCTCAATGTCTCCCCGGCGGGGAGGGGGCTGCCTGGGAGACGCGCTGAGCGGCCCCCCCCGGAGGCCCATCGGCGGCAGCAGCAGCGCCCAGCCCGGCGCCCCGCAGCCTTCCCCGGCGGCGGCGGCGGCCTGGAGAAGCCGCGCACCCGCCGCCGCCCCCGGAGCCTCGCAGCCGCCGCCCGGCGCCCGAGGAGAGGGCGGCGGGCGCCCCCCGGGGAAGATGAAGGCGGAGGGGGGCGACCACTCCATGATCAACCTGTCGGTGCAGCAGGTCCTGAGCCTCTGGGCCCACGGGACGGTGCTGAGGAACCTCACGGGTAATTGATGCGCCCGGGGTGGGGACCGGGATGCGGTGCCGCCCCTCGCCTCCTTTCTCCCTCCCGAGGAGAGGAAGCGCTCCTCGCCGCCCCACCCCCGTGCGCGCCCGGCTTGGGAGCTCGAGGTCCCAGGTCCTGGCGAGGAAGGTGTTAATTGGTTCCACTCCGCGCCTGTCCCGGGGGCGCCGACTCCCTCCGTCCGTGTCCCCCGACCCGGCCCTCTGAGGCTCCCGAATCGCTGGGGGAGAATCCCCGACCCCCGCCTCCTGCCCCGCACGGGGAGGGCTCCCCACGGCCCTGGCTGTGTAGGGTGCGCGGAATAGCGTTAGTGAGCAGACTTGAGCCCTGTTAGCTTTTCTTCATCCCCTCCCTTGCACGCACACACACACACACACACACACAGTCCGCGTCTTGCTGTTTAGATCTTTTTCTGTTTAACTCTTTTTCTTTCTGGCAAATCTCAAACCGGATGTAGGACTAAATCCCCTACTCACAATGATCAGTTTGCTCCAACTGTTAGTTTTTGTGGTGATATAGATGACTGATTTAAGTAGATTATAGTGGGTCAGGGGCTGGGCCAAGGTCTAGCGTTCTAGGCTTTTGAGCTTTAACCGTCTGTCTCCTCCCTCTCTTCTTTCCTTTTGTCTGTCTCTCCCCCTCTCGCCTTTTCTGTGACATTTGATAATTTTGTGTGTTTCCCTTCATTCGTCAAGGCTATCAGGAGAGAATTGGAGTTAACTATATCATAATAACGTCAACTTCTAGTGGTAAAAGTGAGCAGTAATATTCACATATTTTTAGCGAGTTTGTAGGTTTGCTCTGTGAAGAAACTTTGCGAAGGTTTATGTTAATGTGAAAATGCTTATATTATTCTGAGTTCTGAATTTAAAAAATACCTGTAAAGATTAGTGTTTATAAGAAACAGACTATTTGCAATTTGGTGACGACTCAGTGCCTGCTCCTCGGAGAAAAAACTTAAAAGCGTTCTCAGGATTTAATTCTTGAAAATGTGTAAGGCAGCTAATTTTGATAGAACATTAATATTTCAGAATGCATTATGTCAAACTGGTTAAGAGTATGAAAGGTGTTTTACAAATATAACCTGTCTTGGGAGACTACATACATATATGTGTGTGTATATATAATATAAATATATTATAAAATCTGGCATGATATGCAATTCAGATAGTCATAGGGAAAAAAATTTTGGAATTATATGCCACAAGGAGGACTTTAAAGGCAGCGGTTTCCTTGAATGTGGAAACTATAGAATAAACGTAGATTCTGTATTCACTCATGGTGTCCTCACTTTTATTATGTAGTTATTTAAGTTGGAGCAAACTGGCTTTACATGATTGTTTCGGGTCAGGAACATGTTTTTAGTTCCGCAAAACTACATTGACATAAAGACCATTTCATGATTCCATTGAATTTAGAGATAGACTGCCTTATCTTATTTATGGCTTTGCTTGTATTTATCCACTGTTAATATTTCAAATGTTGTATCAGTTATGCTTATTGGACTGAAATGAACAATAAGGATTTAAGAATATATATTTGTATATGTTAATCACTGGCCTAGCTCATGAGTGGGTAGAGAAAATTAGCTTTGGTAGCCATAGAGTGAATGTAAATGTAACTTAACCTCTTGGCCAGATTTAACAATATTTGAAAATATTTACTTTAAGATTCTAATCAGTATAGTAGTGTCCAGTTCCACAAGTCAGCTATTAGATTAATAATCGTAGTTTCAACCCAGGGTTTGCTCTAATTATCTCCTAATATAATTTTAATAGTTGTCAGTTGCTCATCAGGCTTTACCATTTCATCAAGGATATGCTGAGCGTCCCACTCTAGGATTGAGGACCGTGGGAAGCTCTTCTAGGAAAGATGTAGAATCTGAGTATGCAAAATTCTGTTTGTCAGGGTGAAAATGGAGAAGGAAACAGATTGGAAATATACTTCACCAGCAGGTGAAAGTACCACGTGTTAGGAATCACATCACTTCTAAAAAGTGAACTCTGTAAATGGTGACATTCTGATGTGGTTTTCTTTGTGGACTTCTCCATGCTGGTGACCCTAATGACGCCATGTGTAGCTTAATCATTAGTCAAGAGATGCTACCTACGGTGACATTCAGAACTTGATCTATTAAAAACAAACGCAACTCCTAAAATAAGACAACTCCCGTTTATTGAATTCCTGCTCTGTGTCAGGCACTTTACGTATATTCTTTCCAATCTTCAGAGTAACTCTCAAAGTGGATTTACAGAGAAGCTCAGAGAGGTCAGTTAAGTTGCCCCCAAGTCAGATAGCTGGTAAATGGCTGAGCTAGGGTCTACACCCGTCTTTGCTGGCAGAACTACTTTTTCCCCTTTTCCATGCCCTTTTAGCTACTTCCTCTTTTCTCCTTCAGATGGAGTGAATTACTTGCTTCATCCTGCTACTTCTGCTCCTTGTAATGCTTTATTATTCTAATTTTTAGTTACCTTATAATTTTTATTTATTTTTCTAGACTGTGAGCTTTTTGAGGGTGGGTTCACTTCTTAATCACGGAATTCTGGAACCCTAGCATCATAGTACCTGGCACATAGTAAATGCTTGACACATTTATTGAGTTGAATTTTTAAAATAATACTTAACAATTGGATGCTTTAAACATTCTAGTTGCATTATTTTTCAGCTACATCTGTTTGAGTGTGCTGTTAACGAGGGAATGAAGTATTTAAGTAACTTATTTAAAATTTAATAGATAATTATCTTACCTTTAAAACACAACTGTTTATTGAATGCACTTTTTGTGCTAGTTACTATGCTTTTGTGCATTTTATTTAATCTTTTCAACAATCTTGAGAGAGATTATTCTTTATCCTTATTTTACAGATACATACATTGAAGCAAAGAGTAACTTGCTTAAATCTGATAGTAGTAAGTGAAAAATTCTTACCTTTTTTTTCAAATTATGATAACACATATTATTAAGTCAGAAGGCGTTTTTGTCATCATACTAAACCTGGAAGTGAAACAGGTAATAGAAAGGAGCATGGTGTAGAACCAGACTGAATTGGACTTAAGAAATGACTGTGTGAAGGATTTGCAGAAATCTGATGAATAGGAATTCTAGTTAATTAAAAACCAAATAAAAAGAGAATGTAGTCTCATCTCTACTTTTTTCTTCATGTAGACTAACAGATGTGATTTAGTCTTCTCTTTGTATCTTATCCTATAGGTGAAGTAGATAGCTCAACTACTTGATTTTGGAAATACTGAAATATCACATCATTGAAGTTACATGGCAGGGATCAAACAGTTGTTTGTGATATAGGCAGAACTTTAACTAACCATCCCTAACTCTTAGTTCTGTGACTTTACCGTTTATTCCACATGGCTTCTTAACTCTGGCAGGTCTGATAGATGATAAATCTTAATGTACTTAAGACTGGTAAGCATTTGTCCCAGTGAGCCCAAGAATGTGTGAATGGAACTAATTTTTGTCCAGCAAATAAAAGAGAATGGAAAATGCAAGATATTATTGAGTAATAATGCTTTCTAAAATTTTAAGTTGCCATTGCCTATGTAAAAGTTAATGATCCATATTTATTGTATAGCTAGTTTTAGAAATCCGACCAATTTCAGTCTGCTATTTTTTCTGCTTCTGGAAGACACTAGGATGGGGATTCCATATTGAGCAGATTAATACCTGAAGACCCCATCTTGTCACTTGATAACCATTGCCAAAGTTCTCTTCTCTATCTGTCACTTCCCGAAGTGTGTGATGCACCGGATTCCTAGATTGTTTAACTGTGTGTACGTTTCCTGCTTCTTTAGCTTACTAAAGGAGAGAGAGAAATGACTTCCCTTCTTTCTTAAATAGTTTTTCTTTCTCTAAATATGTGCTAAATACCCCCACTCCCCACCCTAAAATTATAGTCTGTATGATATACTCATTCAGTTTTCTGGGTAACGACTTTAAAAACAGGTACAATGAGATATATTCTCTTGCTTTATTTGTATTTTCTCCAGCTATTTCGGCTCCCAACTTTGTGTTCTGACCCGAATTTGGTTGCTAAGGGTTTAGAGAAGAATTTTTTGCTTAGAAAAAGGCAGGACCCTTAAACTCCTGGATCAACACAGAGCCGGGCTGGTGTTGGGAGAGGGATGATTGGTCCCTGGGAGGAAAGGCGAAGGCTGGCTTCAGGCTGGTCTCCTGTCTCAGTGTTAGCAGCAGAGGTGAGGTCAGCTACTCCCTCTTTCTACTGGCGTAAACTTTCGGAGGCTGGGAATTCACACTGGAATGGAGGTCGGACATCTATCTGTGTATGTATATGTATGTACTTACTTGTTTTTACAGTAGACATACACACTGTTATAGTTCCTTTTCAGACTTTACAATTACCAAGCCACTTTAGTGTTAATACTGATTGTCAGTAGAAAAAGAGAAAGGGGGAAAAAGTTGGTATCTGCTGTATCTATTTGGAGTTGTTCACACTTCATACTGATGGAGCCAGCACCTTTCCTTCGGAAGTGCTCCCAAACGGGCACGCTTCTCTCCGTGTTACCCTGTATTCTAGATTCCCATAGGTTTAGTTCCTCTTCCTAAATACTCTATTATGGGAGGGGGCTTTGTGTAGATAAGGTTGTTTCAAGTATCCACTTACGGATGTTTGTATTTGTAAATGTAGCGCTAAAGACAATGTGCTACTTTTCAGTATTTGTGCTGGACCCCAGAATTTACTCTTTGTGAAATATATGTTAAAAATCGCTTACTCTTTTGTGGTAAAGAGCCAATTAATAAGTGCTGGTGTGATTTCTACTATGTAGGAGTTTGCTTTTTGGAAGACTTATCTATGTCTTACTGAGAATGAAGCTACTGTAATTTTTTTAAAAGAATTGTCATCTTCAGGTTTTTAGTTTCTTAATTCCCATCTCATTATCTTTGAATTATATGTCCGTATCTTCTGGCAATACCAAGTCCAGGGTCCAGATGACATTTCTTAAAC